CTACTCTTATCACGAATCTCACCCCGCTGATACACTCTGTTGATATGCATCTTTGAAAATCTCACTGTGATAATAACGAGCGTAATTCACCGTGAAATTTAAAAAAGAAATTAAAATAAATTAATATTCTACGAGCTCGATCCTTGATCATACATGAATAATGGACATGTTTAATCATACGAAAGTAGTTATAGAAACAGCATAGCATGGTGTGTGATAATAGAAAGCTTTAATCACTTGAATCGATTAAGAGGATAAAAAAATATTACTTAATTTATTCCTTCTTCCTACTTGCATACAAAGGCATTCGCACAATATATCTTAAGGAAGTATGGCTGACTTTAATGGTCAATATTTCAATCAATGCCCAATGTTTCGCAGGGAAAGCGATAAACTGAATAGTAGAAAACAAACCACAATGAAGCATTATAATTAAGGCAGTTATTTTTTGCTCGTTTACCTTTCTCATAGCACTCCTATAAATTATCGATAAGTATGTCTGTTAGTTTTGTACACTTTTTTCTTCGTTCTCTTTTCTTACAGTGTTTTCATTTCACGATGATTTTTAATAAATCCGTCTGAACGCAAATGCCTGTCTTTGAAATATTTTTAACAATTTATTTGAACATCTATCGCAAAAATAGTTTCGACGATGATTTAGTGCAGTTACATGAAAGTGCATGCATTATGCCATATAACTTTGGTTATGACGTAAAAGTAACAAGAATTTATATCGATAATAAATTTGTGAACTGATTTAGTTCTTTATGGAACTCGGATATAAATTTATGGTCTACCTTCTTTTATGTCTTACCATGTAACATGACATATATCAATGAATCTTTGCATAGAAAAATGTATTGAACACCATGCAAAAATATCATATTCCATAAATAAATCAATTCACGATTTACGTAATGGTTATTCTAACTTTCAATGTACTCTAACTTACATATCGGAACACATGTCTAACTATCAATGAGTGTAAATCAATTTCTCCTTCTTAAAATATTCCAGAATAACGTAAAGTTATTCCTCAAAATGTTAAAAGCTAAGGGAATGGCAACGGACATTTGTCGGCACTTTAGCTCCGTCCCGGCGTAACAAATGGCCGGCGAAGAAACGCGACAGCTAATTAGAACGAAAGAAGGAAATAATGGGTTTTCGTTAAGCATCAGGGTACACGGGATTATGAAATATCTGGCGATTAAACGTGGCTGCACCTGTGAGCCCCATTTTTTACGGGAGTATTGCGACATCTCATCCTAACACCTCGATCGTTAGTCCGCCACAGGTGATTCCGATTTATCGAGATAACCGAGACAACTGCTCGACGTTCATAAAGGTACCAATCGCGATTCTAGCTGTTGCTAAATTGTAAAAGTAATCGTGCGTAGAATGATATTAAATGACAGGCATCAGTGGTGTTTGATTATATCTATCGTTGGTGAAACGAACTAACTGCGATCGATTTGATTAACGGTTATTTAACGCAATACGCGGCGTAGAAAGGAACCGGGAGACGGGAAAGGGTGTTGGTTTTTTGAAATGAAATTAGAGGACTTATATTTTGGCACATCGATATGCGGTGAATGGTATTGCATGAAATAGATGTAAAAATAGGAACAAAATTTTTTACGAAGAAAATTTGAAAATTTGTGAGTTCCTAAATTTCTAGATTCCAAGATATTTAAGTTCCTAAATTCTTAAGTTTCCAGATTTCTAGATTCCTAGACTCCTAGATTCTTACATTCCTAGATTTCTAAATTTCTACATACTAAGATTCTTAAATCACTAAAACACTAAATCCCTAAATTCCTAAGTTCCTACATCCCTAAATTCCTAAGCTCCTAAATCCGAAATTTCTGTACATGAAAAATGAATATTTTTAACCAAGAAAATGTAAGTTTTCGATTAACACAAGCTGAAGCTCGTTGATCGTGGAGAAGGTATACAGAAAGATTGCCGGTGTTTCTAAAATTGGTCGAGAAGAATTATTGCCGATCCGTGATTGCAATTAGGCGTTGAAAGGTAGATAACTATTACCAGATGGTGACGTATATCTAATTGCATGAATTTAAATGATCCCTATATAGCCATACTAATAGGAGCTTGATAGCTGGTGATACAAATTGAAGAACCCACGGGCAACTAAGTAGATTAATTAATTATGATAGCTATTTACGAAACAGTGGGTTTCAATTACAGACTTGCCCCTGTAATCACATCGACCGCTTTCATCTCCTTATAATTTTCATCAAACCTGTATATCGTATCTTCGGGTTTCGTTTTATTACCTCGCTATGCAGGCTGTGCCGTCTAATTAAGACCAATTAACTTAGATTCTAATTATCTGTGCTTAGAATACTAAATTAACTATTTTACGGTATAATGTCTGGCACTTCGACAGATTTCTTCAAGTATCTATATAATGTTACGGTTAACGCTATTTAACCCTTAAGTTATTACTAACGAAAGATTTTTTTATTCTTGGTTAATGTAAGCTATTAATTAAAATAGAAAATTTCCAATGCAGATTTTGCTTTATTTTTATATATTTTCCATATATTTATAATATTTCTGTGACTTCCAAAATTTGTGTCACAAACACATAAATCAGTATCATAAAAATATGTACATGTTACATCTTGTACATAGGATAAACCAAATTACTGAAGTATATTTAAAAACATTTTTTAATACAAAACTGCAGTTTGCTATTTTAGGTACAAAAGTAATTTCTAATTTAATTCAGTATTACAGAAATACGATAATAGTTTCATTTCCTAAATCTCTAAATTTACTAAATCTGATTAAGCGCGTTAATTCGAGATTGTTGTAATAGGATGTTGCGACGTCGAATTATTAGAGGATCATCGCTATACCTAAAATGGGGAAGAAACGACTGGGAGATAAAGACGTAAGTTAGATCGATAAAACGTATTCCCACCGGTTAATATGATTCCAATTAATTAAGTGGACCGAGCGCGGTGTCAGGTTGCAATCGGGCAAGGGAATATCCCGAGACTGGTTGCGTTTTAATTATGCATCGACTCGTGGGACGAATCGCGCGTGACGCAAGGAGAGAAACTAACGATAAGGCGACGGGATTTTTCCACCCATGCACCAGGTGAACAACATCCGCCTTCTTCTTCGTCGAAATCACTATACGCCCGGCACGGACATTGCGAAACGATGTTTCGCGCGCGAATCATCAAACGTAATGTAACGTCGGAATGTAACGCGTTTATAAACTCGTGAAAGTTGATGACGTCCCGTTCAATGCTACTTATATACGAATTCGCGTTCGCGTGCGCTAATGATCGGCAATAAATGTAACACACAATTCGCTCGTTACGCAATAGCCCGGCTAGATTTAACGTGGAAATAAGAGAACCACGCGGCTTATCGTTACTCTTACGCTAATATCTACGATCACGTCAATCTGCAATAATATCTATGGTCGCGATTAACGCGGGAAAAGAGCGACGTGGAGGGTCGTCAGTCAGAAGTTGAGAGATTTCAGAGTTACGGGTTGGGGAGATTTCGGGACTTAGAGTGCTGAAAATGTGGGGATATGAGGATTAGAAGAGCTGGAACTTGGAAGACTTGGAAATTTGGGGGTTAGAAGAGTTGGAGATTTGGAAACGTAGAAAATTAGGAATTTAAGAATTTGGTGATTTGGGGAACTGGAATTTGGGGGTTAGAAGGGTTGGAGATTTAGAAACGTAGAAAATTAGGAATTTAAGAATTTGGTGATTTGGGGAGCTGGAACTTGGGAGACTTAGAAATTTGGGGGTTAGAAGGGTTGGAGATTTAGAAACGTAGAAAATTAGGAATTTAAGAATTTGGTGATTTGGGGAGCTGGAACTTGGGAGACTTAGAAATTTGGGGGTTAGAAGGGTTGGAGATTTAGAAACGTAGAAAATTAGGAATTTAAGAATTTGGTGATTTGGGGAGCTGGAACTTGGGAGACTTAGAAATTTGGGGGTTAGAAGGGTTGGAGATTTAGAAACGTAGAAAATTAGGAATTTAAGAATTTGGTGATTTGGGGAGCTGGAACTTGGGAGACTTAGAAATTTGGGGGTTAGAAGGGTTGGAGATTTAGAAACGTAGAAAATTAGGAATTTAAGAATTTGGTGATTTGGGGAGCTGGAACTTGGGAGACTTAGAAATTTGGGGGTTAGAAGGGTTGGAGATTTAGAAACGTAGAAAATTAGGAATTTAAGAATTTGGTGATTTGGGGAGCTGGAACTTGGGAGACTTAGAAATTTAGGGGTTAGAAGGGTTGGAGATTTGGAAACATACGAAATTGAAAATTTAAGAATTTTGTGATTTGGAAATTTCTGAATACAAGGATTTAAGCATTTGTAAATTTGAAGATTCAACCATTTCACAATATGACAATTTGGTGATTTGAACATTTGCAAATTTGAGAATTTCAAAATAAAAAATATTAAGAGATTTGAAATTTAGAAGGTCGAGCATTTAGGAATTTAGAGATTTAAAGCGTCTGCAATGTCGAGAACGACATTTGGAAAGTTAAAAATTTGGAAATCTAGTATACGCGCAAACAATTATGAAAACACATAACATGAATATTTTTAAAAGAAGTTTTGTAATATCGCTACCTTACACAATGCATTACATTTCTAATTGTAGATAAATTTCACGACAGGGTAATGGTAAAGTTTCAGTGAAACTAATCGAGTTTTTTCCCAAGTGAACATTAAATATGTTCCGACTAAAGTACTGCCTCAATTGTCCGAATAGATGCTTGCGCAAATTTAATCGTTTTAGGTTAAATTATACTTTCAATTAAATAGTAAATCTGTTAAAGAATGCATTGTGTTGGACAAGAATCCCACAAGAATTTGTGTGGAGATATTATTTTAAACCAGTAGCGAAACTACTATTTTCAGAGTCAATAAATAGCGTAGGAAAGTTAATATAATAAAATTAGTGTAATAGAAAAATTTGCGGTAAATTAATGTACTTACCTCGAGTACTGCCGTTTCTCTTCGCTGTCATTCGGATCACGTGACATGTTCGACGACGCGACGCCATAGATTGTTCTAGACTTCCATAGCCAAAATGTTAAACTATAATCGAAAAAAATGATACAGGTTATTACGAGAAAGACATATCTACATAAATAGATGAGAGATTAACGTCTTAAATTATAAATAATCTGATAAGAATGAAAAAACAAAAGGACTCGAAAAACTTCTACTCTTTACGAAAAGAATACACGTTAAAAATTCTGCACATCGCGTAGTTTATGTAATATATTTTACAAAGTGAATAGCTTACTTTTCTTTCAATAACTTCGTGCTTGTTGATATTTGCGTTAATGGTTGTTGTTTGGAAGAAGTCTGTAAGCTCTCGATTTTGCAAAACTTCATTTTCTTCTCAAAAATATCCTCTTCAACTTGACACTGACACTACACGCAAAAACGACACTACGTCATAAGCTTCCGACGTCGATCGCGCAACTGATTTTGGGTAACCCGAAGACATCCGAAGGTAACCGAATAATCCGAAGTTTACCGAAGTTCAACCGTTTTCCCTCCAATTTTAAGGGTTTCTTTTGAAGTGGTAACTTGTGTTCGTGTTGCAAAAGTGTAATATATTGAAGTGTAATAAGATAGGCAGTGAACAGGTGCAAATTTTCATTTTGTTGCTTTGTGAAATATTAAAAATGTAAACGAAACAGTATCACGAACTGCTCATTCCCTTTTACATACAAGCATTTCGTAATTTTCGATCGTTCTTCGCGCCGGAATATTACTCACGATACGAACATGGCGTACCATATACAAACCGATAACACCGTAACAGAATGATAAATCGTTTTTCCTTCGTTGACAGCGTTAAACGACGGTGAAAGTAAATAATAAAAGAGACGTGCGAAAAAAGTGACGATTAATCGCGTCATGTCGTGAATTTATTTCGATGGCTCCCGGTTACTCGATATCAAATTGCAGCGCACCTTGACATGCTGTTTATCACGTTTTAAAAGGACGAGATTGCAAGGACTTGGTGATCTACTTATCATGGTTCGTACCGTTTTACAATTTTTAAATATAGTTTTTTAATGTTGTTTTTATTCTCCTTTTATTTTTATTTTGGTTCTTCCAAACATTGTACATATATTTACATATTAAATACTGCTACCATTATCAAGTATTATGCATCCATAATAAGAACCGTTCAAGAACCGTAAATGCGGAAATTGATTCATACGAAAGCTCGCAGCAAGGCATTGAATAAACGAGGACTAAAACTATTAAACGCCTAAAATATCGTGTATTCATTATTCCGTTTCCATAAAAAAAGGGAGAACTCATTTGTTTAAAATTCTCCCATTACGAAATGGCGAACACCAAGAGAAATCGTTGTACCATGGTATTGTGCATACAGTTTCCGCCATTACAACGCTACAGGAAACGAATTTTTCCAAGTGAACCATAACGATCGACGTAATTCCTCCGTCACTTATAAATCGATTTACTTTGAAATATTGCAAATGGACTAATGATTCGCTTTATTAACCGCGAATAAACTACACTTTAACGTCTATTCCGAGCGAGATTTACCAGTTAATAACCTGTTACACAAACTTAACAGTTCGCGGTGTTCATCCGTTGTCCAATGGCCGTTGATAGCGAGTGGACTAGAATTCCTAGTGTCAACCGATAACCTGTTCGAGTATCACGGAGAAAGTGGTTTGTGACCGACGAACCGTGATGTGGTAGTTACATTAAAACCATAAAAATCAAGCAAATGTTTTAACGCCTCTGCAAGAAATTTTGCGAGCCACTCGTTGCATAATTTCCGAAGAACAAGTTAGACTGACACGAATTACCTGAATTCGAACGAACGTCTCTATAATTCATGCGTGAAATCTGCATGCGTTAGAAATTCTTCTAATACCTGTACGTTCCTTTATTAACCTTCAACGCTGATTATTATGGGTTTATACAACGTACAGATTTTTATTTCGCTTTGTTAACACGGCCACTGTCATGTTATGTCCGAGAAGTATTCCACTTACTCTGGTAATTTTAAACTACTCTAGCGTTTCTGTTGTATTTGTGGGTTTCTATTATATAGTGTGGGCAGTTATCAACGTAATCGTTTAATTGCTCACCGGTAGTTTTCCGTTGAAAGTCAGATATTCAATTTCAAGTTAAGTTTAATTTCACTAATTATAGAGTATCAAGTAATAATAGTACTGAAGTAATAATAGAGTACTAGAATAGTTACTATTTTGTTATTTTATGTGTTATAATGTAACGAACGGTTGATTTATACTGTACCAAGTTAACAAAAGGTGTAAGTGTATGTATTACTGTACGAATTCGTACAGTAATAAATAATTAAAGTTGCAAATCGCAAATATTCCGGCATCCACGCAAACGCACGCGAGTTTTCACGTCCATCCTTTTACATCCGATTTCGCTTTCGAGAAAGCGACATTTTATCAGATCGATCCGCCGAAAGAAAATTTCTCTTTCAATCTGAAAATTCCGCGCTCGTTTCATGCGATGCGGAAAGATTGTTCTCTGCAATGAAACAGCGATTCTTTGAATACAATGATCCCGCATCGAACGCTCCTCCTTTTTCTTTTAAATCGTATTATTATAGCTTGATTATTATCCGGATGTTTCGTTAAACGTTGCACGCTCGTTGGATATTCAAAGTTCCTTTTCCTTCCGTTAAACACGAGAGAGTAATTAATTTCTCCGCAGAAAAATTGCTCTGGCACCTTCGCGATAATTATGCGGATAGAGATCGTTGCATGCACGGGATGCTTGGCGCGGTATTTGAAACACCGTGCAACGCAAAGAAATAACTTTCGGATGGTTAAGATGGCTTTCGAGGATTTTGAAAATTTTGGAATTTGAGGTTTTAGGAATTCAGAAATTTGGAGTTGAAATATTGAAATTTATGAACATTTCACATCAGAAATTGACGAGTTTAGAAATTTGATATGTTGGTAGTTAAAAAGTTTGAAAACTCACAAACTAAAAATTATGAACGAACATTTACAGTCGCAAGATGTTAACATTATATTTACAATACATTGGTAATAACAACTACTCTAAAACATTCCCTATACATTGTATGTCAAAATGAGGCTGTTACACTTCATCCCTCTCCAAAAGTACCTTTTAATTAACTCATAAATTTTATCAACCATCTGCAATTTCTCTTCAGAGTACAAAAAAAACGTCAAGTTCAGAACAATAAATTTCTATAACACCTAATCACGAAATGTAAATTGGACAGTTAAATAATGTTAGTTTAGCTAAGATCAGCGCAGAACGCGTTTCGCTGATAATTCCTGTTAAAATCGTAATCACGCGAGTTCTCCATAAGTCTTCTATCAGAACACGGATATCCTTGTAACAATAATTACACCAATTTCCATCCCGGCGTATCTTAATCAAATCGGCTGAAATTCATGCGCGTGCATACGTTACAGTCCCGTACGTTTCGTTCGGTTGCTTCTATCTTACACGGTTATTTCGCGATCGTTCCGACACTAATAGTACTCGTAATCGACGCAAATGTAAATGAATTTAGGATTAGTTTTCCATATCGCGGACTACAGAAAACTTAACGCTAATTAAACTCGTACGAAGTATGCTCAGAAAAGAGTAACGACGTGATGGTACGAGCCGACAATACGGCACGTTTAGTTCGTGGAATTTGTTCGAATGAAAAAACAACTCTACCAACTGGTTTTTAAACGAGCGTGCACACGTGTGTACGGTTAACGTGTCAACCTGTTGTCCAAACTGCGATATATCTCTCGTATCCGACATCCTTCCACGGATTTCAACTCATTCACCAACTGTCAGCTTCATTCATCTTCCCACGTAAACGGCGACATACTGCAAATTATTTCTTTCGATAATCTCGGTAAATAATGGGAATCGAATCACTCATCAGGTGGAATAAGCTTTCTGATTTGATGATAATTATTAATTTCAATCTCATTCGATATGGATTATAGTGAATTATGGATTCATGAATATAATTTTCTTCTAGTGAATTAATTGTGGATCAGGTTTTTGAACTTTCGATAAAGGGATAAAGTTATCGGTATTTGGATTCTACGCATAAGTATATTGCAAGTTCTAATGAGTAGAAATCTGGAAATATCAAGGACATAGTGATATTACACATGTAATGATTACAAGGGATAAAACTATCGTTTGAAATATACATAATAATGTTGTAAGCATATTGCAAGTTCTATGGACTGAAAACCTGGAAACATCAAGGGTACATATCCTTATCATATGGTGATTATAGAGTTTCAAAGATGTGGAGATGTAGAAATCTGAGGACGTATTAATTTAGAGATGTAATAACTTCGGGATATAGGGATATAAATTTAGGGATATAGTAATCCATAGCGACCTAGACATATAGTAATGTGGTAGTATATTGATTTAGAGATGTAGCGAATTAGGGATGCAGCGAACTAAGAATGTAGCGAATTAGGGACGTAGCAAATGAGGAAGTAGCGAACTAGGGATGTAGCAATCTGGGGATGTAGCGAACTAGGGAATTAGTGAAATGGGGAAGTAGCGAACTAAGAACGTAGTAATCTGGGAATGTAGCGATCTGGGGATATAGCGAACTAAGAATGTAGCAATCTGGGGATGTACCGACCTAGGGGCGTAGTGAACTGGGGAATTAGTGAACTGGGGAAGTAGCGTACTAAGAATGTACTAATCTGGGAATGTTGCGATCTGGGAATATAGCGAACTAAGAATGTAACAAACTACGGACGTAGCGAACTAAGAATGTAGCAATCTGGGAATGTAGCGAACTAAGAATGTAGCAAACTAGGGATGTAGTGAACTAAGAATATACCGATCCAGGGATGTATCGATGTAAGGATATAATAATCCAAGTATACATATTACAATCTAGACATATATCAATTTATAGACGTATCGAACCAACGACGTCTTAAAAATAGCAAACTTCAGATATAAAGACTGTGTATAAGGACTTATAAAAAAAGCACACAGAAAAGGAAATATAGCGGCAGTCACACGCAATTAATCCTTACCATAATTAGATAAGGCCTTGCTTAATCAGCTTTCGCCGATGAGCGTACATGTATCGATATCGTGGACGTCATATCATATTGCGGAAGCGATGTCACCTCGATACCGAAGGTGCAAAAATCCCTGAAACATTGTATCGACTACGTCGTCACCGTTTTTACGTTCACTGAATCCCTTTCATTTTTCACGGTGAAAAGCGTTTTAATTGCCGTCACACTCGCTCCAAAAAGAACGAACGACCGCGTTCGATATTTGTCACGCTCGTTTAATCGGAAATATCCGTCCCGTTCGAGATTCCTTTGACTATCGGCGGCGAGTAACGGGCACGCGATTTACGAGCATCATTATCTGCTACGAAACTACTCGAAC